GCTGCTGCTGCTGCTGCTGCTGCTGCTGCTCTGCCGCAGAGCCATTGGCCGGGCTGCGGTTGTCTCCAGTTCCCGGCACTGCTGCTGCTGCTGTTGCTGCTGCTGCTGCTGGCGCGTCTGCCGTGTCTTCTGGGTGTGGCAGAGAAAAAGTGTGGCTGCACCTCTGCTTAACTGCTTCGGTGTCTTTGCTGCTGCTGCTGCTGCTGCTGCTGCTGTGGGGCCCGCCGAAAACCACAGAGCCCTGGCTGGCCTCGTACTTTGCGAGTTTCTCTCGCAGCTGCTGCAGCTCTTCCTGCTGCTGCTGCAGCAGCAGGAAGTCATTGTGTGCGTGCTGCAGCTGCAGCAGGAGCTGCGCCTCTTGCTGTCTGCTCTCCTGCTGCTGCTGCTGCCGCAGCAGCGTGAGCTTCTCCGTCGCGTCTGCTGCAGTGGCTGCTGCTTCTGCTGCAGCAGCTGTGGGGCCCTGCAGCAGCAGCGCAGCAAATATGCAAATGTAAGGAGAAAGAAAAGCAGGAAGCCCCTCGAGCTCGGGGCACCGCAAAAGTGTTGCTGGTCCAGCCCACGGGCTTGCAGCCTTCTCGCTGCTGCTGCTGCTGCTGCTGCTGCTGGCGTCCCTGTTGCTGCTGCTGCACTTGCTGCTGCTCAGGCCAGAGACGGGGGAGGCGGACTTTGTGGGGCTTAGCGCTGCTCGCGTTGCTGCGGCTGCTGCTGCTGCCACTTTCGAGGTGCTGCCAGCCGGCGCACCTTTGTCAGCAGGCATTTCCTGCTGCTGCTGCTGCTGCTGCTGCTGCTGCTGAAGACCCTTTGGCACTGGTTCCTTCCTGAATGCGTCGGGAACGCCTGAGCCTTCGCCTTGCAAAGGAGAAGACTGCTGCTGCTGCTGCTGCTGCTCTTGCTGCTGCTGCTGCTGAGCTGGAACTGGGCTGCTGCATGCAGGGCTGGCGGAACGCTGCAAAGCAGCAGCAGGCTGGTAGTCAGCACTGCTGATGTTTGCTGCTCTCTGCTGCTCTTCTTTAGTTGCAGCTGCTGCAGGCGTTGCTGCTGCTGCTGCTGCTGCTGCTGCTGCTGTCGTCTCAGCTTTTGTTGCCTGGGACGAGGACGCAGATGATTTTTCCTCTAGCGACTTGGCGGGTCCCGAACGTGGCTGATGGTGCTGCTGCTGCTGCTGCTGCTGTTGCTGCTGCTGCTGCAGCGCAGCACACGAGCTTCCTAGTATGAATTGGAGGTGATGTGCGTAGTTTGTTTCTGCTGCTCTTGCTGCTTTCTGTGCCTCTGCAGCATCCACCCCTCCTGCAGCAGCAGCAGCTGCTGCTGCTGCTGCTGTGTCTCGCAGGTACCGCAGCACATCAACGAGATAAGACTGCAGCTGCAGCAGCAGCAAAGAGACGGGCAGCTCGCAGGCTTCATTTTGCTGCTGCGTGCAGAAGATGCAGCTGCTGCAGTGCCTGCTGCTTCGCGTGCTGCTGCTGCTGCTGCTGCTAGCAGTGGCTGGGGAATGCGTAACTCTGGCTGCGTGCTCCACCTCACTATCCGCATTTTTAGAGGCAGCAGCAGCAGCAGCAGGAGCACGAGAAGCAGCAGCCGCTGCAGCAGCAGCATCTTCTCCCCGCAGCAGCAAAAAGAAGACTGCGAGCTGCTCGTCTTTTTGCTGCTGCTGCAGCAGCAGTATTATCTTGTTGATCTGCTGCGGCACCTGCAAAACACAGCAGCAGCAGCAGCAGCTGCTGCTGCTGCAGGAGGAGTTGATGCTGCTGCAGCACAAACAGCAGCAACAGCAGCAG